TCACTAGCCCTATTGTAATAGTAGTTTACGCAACGATTGCGTAAAGACTATTAACGCGAGTTGCGTACACTACTTTACCTACGACCGTTTTTTAATTACTATCAATCTGAATTTAATTACTAACAATCACTACTGATAACTTATTAGAGAGGTTATGTTTTCGTGTATTGTCATTGCCACTGAAAGTGATGCAACGACTTGTTGTATAATCAGTTGATTTCCTGTAATTACGTGTTTGTTAAACTTCGTTAAATATTACATTGCTACCAGCATTCTTACCATAAATAATATTGTATCAGGTACAATTCGGCAAATATTTCATTTATTTTTGGATTTCCACCAACTTAATTAAGCATACACGAGTATCAACATGAACAAGTCGGATCAACAATTAAATTGGTCAACTGATCAGCTGATCAGCTGATTAGTTGACGTTCGAAGCATTACAATTTTAATTCTTTTCTCTCAATACTTGAACCTCATTGGTCCGTTACCTGTGTTGATATGAGAAAAACTATGCTGATATGAAAGTAAACAGCTGTAAAGTGAAACTTTTCAATTCTAAGAACTGGACTGAAATGGCTACTTTAAAAAACGGTCGTAGGTAAACATTATTTAACATTACTTAAATGGAGCTGTCAAACCATAATATGTTAATGTGATTTCATAAGTATATGATTCTTTCAGTTACTTCATTTGTTTATGTTTATGATCTATTATACTGAGTCTGTTCTAATATTTGTGAAATGCTGTAATAATGTTTTACTGGGAAAAATTTGTTGTAAAAAAATCATTTATAGATACCGGTATAGGAACTAATTAATATTCTACAAGGAACCATATAGGCAAAGGCTCAATCATGCTTTTTGATTATTTAAATGAATATCTCTTAATGTATTACAGTACTATCATTAACATAGTGTATAACATTTAAAATATATGCAAAAGTATAATTCATTGGCCACATGGCACCAAGAAACGATTCTCCTTGTAAACAAATAAAATTAAGTAGCTGAACAGCATTCCTGACAACAGCAGGAGTTTCATAACAATGTTTGTTTCCATGTTAATCTTATGGAGAAATACGAAACTTTAAAGGGCCCCAGGCCTCTCTTAAATTATTTCCCTAAAAAAAAGTTTCCTGCACAACTTCACCTTACGCTCTTTTAAATGAAACCAAAAACATGTCAATCGGTTCAGTAGTTTCGGAGGAGTAATTGTCACAAAAAAACCTGCTTGCGTATTAAATAAGTACGAGAGGTCGTCCAGTGGTCGAAACTCGACCAAAAATATGTAATGTACTCACTTCTCTATTTTCACCCCGCACTGTAAATAAAACATGTGATTGGAGTATCTTCCATTTGTTTTGATTTCCTGTTTATATTTCGTTGTTATTTCGTCACCAGCATGGCAACGCATAAGATCTATGTTAATTTTTTCAAATCTTTAAACTCATTTTTTGTGCTTATCTTTGAGCCTATTTAAATTTATAAAGGGATTCTGCATACCTACAGGAAAATAGCTTTCTAACGGTATGCGTAGATTTTCCCTACGATGCACACGAGCTGAGAAAAAAGGTTTTAAAGAAACATGCTTGCCTATTAATATATAGATAGATAGATAGATAATCATTGCCGTATCAACCTAGGCCCTTATCGTGAGTTTTATGAGGTTTATTTCTTTGAATTATTTTGGTGTAAACCAGTAATATATAATCCCCCTGCCGCAGCAAATCTATAGACTGAGCGAATTTCCATTTGCCTGATTATAATTTCACAAAAATATGTTAGAAAATTACCCATAATTTTCCATATTTATTTATATTTTCCTTTTTTTTCTATTTTTTTGTTTGGAACTATTGTGATAGCTTTTCGTTTATAGTGCAAACCATTAAACACATTCTTTTATTATACCTTTAAATCCATCATTGGTTTTGTATCGTAGGTAGGCCGAGCCTAAATAAGTATTAACAGTATGAGTTAACAAAAACGTACTATTATCAAGTTAAGTAATACAGTTAAATTTTGTTTCTAAATTAAATGGTAGGAGTGAAACCAATTGGTATTTTCAAAGAACCTATGTGTATCTTTTGCATACTGACCCCGTTGCAAGGCACGGGTATAGCTGCTAGCAAATACGAATAGTAGCGCTGATTTGCAGTAGTAATTCAATAAAATAACAAGCGACCGGCTGACCGGCACAACTAATTGTGACCAACGGGATTGATTTATTTAGTATCTTATATGCATTAGAAATCATGTACTACCACAAAGTCTTCTATCTACATCAATTACAATTCCATAATACCCCCACCGCAGCAAACCTGCAGCCAAAGCAAATTTCCATTTGTGTGGCTTTATTTTCAATTCAATATAATTCAATAACGTTAGGTTTAACGAGTACCTAGGTTTGCTGCCTACAGGTACAGGGAGGGTAACGAAGTGTGATTTTTAGAAAAATATTATTAGCTTAGTATGAAATAAATAAATTTGCCAAGTTTAAAGAAAATATATTCATAAACGAGCAATATTACAACAGTTTACTTATCCGACTAAATATTATAAGTAAGAAAGTTTGGATTTATATGGATGTATGGATGGATGGATGGATGGATGGATGTTTGTGACAAGTAAACGCGAAGAATACTAAACCGACAAGGTTGAAATTTGGTATGACGATAGCTGACATTCCCGATTAACATATAGACATATTCTTACCTCAAAAATCCTTTCAGGCTCCGCCCCAGTGGCTCTGGCCATGGAGTGTCTCATGTTAACCTTATGAGTATTCATATTTAAAGAAATTAAAGAATTTTGTCAGCCTTTTCAACTGCATAAGTTGGTTATGATATTAAATAGCAAAATAGCATTAAAAAGTTATAAGGCTTGCCAATAGGGTACAGCACTATTATGTTTTTTGCATTTATGACCACAGCTAATTTGAACCAATTAGCAACAAAAAGTTGTGGTACACAATGAGAACTTTACTTTTTTCCATGGCTTAGGTGCAGTGGTAGAACATTTGGGCTATGGTAGATGTGTGTTACACTATAGGATACCGTATAAATTAAAAGACCAAATTGTCTTAAACCGCGTCTTCTCCCATAACTGCAATAAACATTTATACTTATATGCAAACCCCGTACGAAGGACGGGTACTCTGCTAGTTATAGATAAAACATAGTCTCTTAGCTATTAACCTACAAAATCAGAGCTATATTGCTTCGGTAGTTTAGGTGTGGTTGAAAGAACTGGGCGCCGGGAGGCAAAACGCGATAATTCCTCGGACGATTCGGTAACGGGGATATTTCCCGCGAGCCGGGTAGATGCAGGGAGACGTCCGCTCAGTTACCCACCCGAACCAGTTTTGTCCGGCTCACGCACTGTCCGCCTCACGCACGTCCGGGGGAAACACGGCACCGTTGCCACAACGGACTTATTAACCTTCCTCAGTCAAAAACTAATGTAGAACTTAAAAGTTTGTTTGAAGAGAGCCCACAACTGTATAAATTCATTCGACAATGCAACAGTGCGATGGCTTTTGCTTATTTTTCAGCCAGTAAGAAAGATATTCCAGGAAAAGGGCCATACTGTTTCAAAATTCAAAGACAGATTTATCGTTCAATCTCAGATTTGCTGCCTCAACATGATGAAGACCCCGTGTATGGCCAATTGTACATTATTGACACATCAACAGCAACAGAAATTCGTCAAAGGCGTCGAGAAAATAGTGACTTAAAACCTGAAATATTGTCAAAACTAGCTGAAATTCTATTAGAAAATACATTTGCACAAATTTACAAAAGAGCTTCGGAAGAAATGGTTGTACAAGGTGACAGTGAATTAGAACTTAGGTTTGTAGACAGGATGAATATGGATCGTCGTAGGTATAATAAGCCTACTGCAGATGAAATTGCAGGTGTCTTCAATTCATCTGAAGGCGAACCTCCAATGAATTTTTAAAATTCCAAACAGGGAAGCTTTTAATTATCCTCATTAACCACAAGACCAAAGCTACCTTAGTAAACCAGTATTTATTCACAAACAATGATATGTTTGCTGCCTTTTCATGTTAAACCACTGGAGTGATTCAAATTATTTATTGAAAATGACATCAACAAAAGCAAACAAAGAAGAACAACAAACTGGTTTTTACACAAAAGATATGGTGTAGGGATGCCTATTCTGACATAGATAATGTTATTCTGAGTTTGTTTAAATACCGGTATTGCAAAAAGTTGTTTTACATTTGAGCTTTTTAGGGACTTATGTCCCTACAAGCCACTAGTTAAAAATCTATATCTGTACATTTAAGCGGATGCAATATTGTCATAGTCCAGTAACCAATCTGTCGTAAACACACAAATACCATTAGCTGCTTCCAAACAAAACAGCTGTTACAACACTTCTTGCGACGTTGCCACTTCGAAGGCCGCGGCCTGGAGTTAAAGGCGGCCTTGTTCCGACCCAACGGTTTGCTTCCACAAACGAGTCATTAAAGTTGTCACACATACACACTCTACTTGACCATTTAAGTCAAAAAGAGCTTTGTAAGTGAAGTTTGGTCCGACTAAAATGCTGTTCACAAAGATCCTAGTGTTCGAATTTTCTTATATTCGACAGTTCAGCCTATTTCACGTTCAGCGTGTTTTTTGGCTCGGCCTTCGTGGATGTCACGTCACCATCTTTCCTTTGGAGTTTTTCCTCCAGCAGCCCAAGCCCAATTCGATACGTGAGTTCAAAAAATAAATAATCGATGGTAATTATTTCACACGTGGCCTTCTATGTTTTCCTTCAAGCCTCTACGTACAACCATTGACTGTACAACATATCGAACGTATCAACCAATCAAAAACAAGCACGTTTTGTGCGAGTCGAGACCGAGTTTCAAAGTTGAAATACCGGAACCGAACCGAACCGATCGAGCGGCTGTTGCTATGTTTGTGTGTGTATACTGTGAAACAGTGAAACTGAACTGTTACTGTTAGCTGAGCTGGTGCTTCATGATAGGTTGTTCTGTTGTCATTATTAATTACATGCGTATTGTTCAGCAGGAATTTTAAAGTTTCACGGTTTCGGTCTTACTTACTATAGTCTAGAATTTATACATTAATCTACTTGCTTACTTTCAGTTACATCTTACATTTTAGGCCTCTAACGTTTAAGTTAGATAGGCTATAATAATTAATTATTCACATTTCTTTCTAATACAGGCTAGGCCAGTTACCTGCTAGGCCTATACTTGTAATCAAAAAGGAATAGGCCTACAAATTCAGTATTGGTTTTCCTAAATTAATTTGTTGGCTGCTACTTAGTTACTTAGTACTATGACTCCTCTTGATGTGAAAATTGGACAGATGTGGTTTTTTGTGGTCTTTTCTGCTGCATACATTATTACCAGTACACACACATTGAAACGAGAAGACTGTGAAGGTAAGTTAATTTAAATTAATTGTTTGGTTTTGCCTGACTTCCCATGTAAGTTAACACTTTTGAAGCAAAAAAACGTGGTACTGTCTGTTGAGATGGTCTACCGACTAATTACAATGTTCTGTGTCCAGTCAAGTGATGTATCAATCAACCTTTTGCTATGATACTACTGTACATTGATTTTAATTAATAACTTAGCTATTTACCTTACAAATGTAGGCCTAGTAAGAGCGTTTTTACATCACGCAGGTGAATGTTGTGCAACGAGCGGAAGCGAGTTGCATAATTCACCCAAGTGATGTAAACAAGCTCTTGCGTAACGTGTAACGTACAAGATTTTACCTGATCCGACAATATTCAGGAGGTTACGAACAATACTTTTCATTATCCATTTCACTCGTCTTCTAACAGTAGGCCTAACGTTCATTTTCAAACAAAAGCTAGGTTAGGAAAATTCTTCCAAGCATACCAATAAGTGCAGTGAAAATGCTAACTTCCTTAACATTATCACTAAACTTAGGTCTTTCAAACTTATACTTACCATGTGTTTTATAGGCATAAGAATAGGTAGGAATTTACTTAAACATAACTTAGTTAGCCTAAAAGTAAATTTTTTCGTACACTTTTCATGTTTTTGTTTTTAGATACCGTAGGCCTACTTAAATAACTAAATTTGATACAACTTAAGTTCTAAATATTGGATTTTAATCATTAAACCATCAGTTTGCAGGGAATATAGTGCCCTCTAAATATTTAGGTAGTATTATAACACTAGCAGAGTACCCGTCCTTCGTACGGGATTGGCATATAAATTGCTTATTGCAGTTATAAGTTACAACAGAACTTGCAGTTGAAGTTGCAGTTTCAAGCTTTGCGTTTGCAATGGGGGAAGACACGATTTGATCAAATTTTCTTCTTGAAAATTTACTGTATAGCCATAATATTCTACCACTTCACCTAAACCATAGAGAAAAATAAATTATTAAAGATTCGCAAAATATCACCGTAATTCTGAGCAATTACTTGGTCAACCCCAATTTTTTTCATACTTTACTACGGTCATCAGGAGGTTCTCAGAAAGCAAGAAACATATAATTCAAGGCCCGCAAGGCCATATTACAGGTTGCCGAGCGATAAGAAGGTTCAAAGTTTAAGCGATAACAGTGGCTTGCGGGAGACACGCGGAAGGCCAGTTGTGACAGTACCGTTATGGCTATGGCTAGTGGTTCCTCCGACAATCCTCCCGGCGATTACTGAGTTAATTAATAACCTAACTTAACCTAACCTAACCTAACTTATTATGTTTTTTTAGTCTCAAATACATCTCTAAGGCCAATTGTAACAGTACCGTTACGTTACGTTAGGTTAGGTTAATTAATAACCTAACTTAACCTAACCTAACCTAACCTAACTTAACCTTGCGGGGCTTAAATTATATGTTTCTTGCTTTCTGAGAACCTCCTGATGACCGTAGTAAAATATGAAAAAAATTGGGGTTGACCAAGTAATTGCTCAGAATTACCAATATCACAAATGAATCATGAAATTAAAAACATAAAAGTAACTGTAAACAATCCTACTTTGACAGTTCTCATTGCATATCATAGATTTTTGTTGTTGCTTAGTTCAAATAAGCTGTTCCCATGAATGCAAAAAAAGTTATAAGTAGTGCTGCACCCTGTTGGTAAATCTTAAAACTTTTAATGCTTTTGCATAGGTACCATAGAACCAACTTCTTAAGTTGAAACAGCTGACTAAAAACTTTTACTCCCTTTAAATATGAATTCTCATAAGGTTATCATGGGGAACCACAGAGCCACTGGAACGGAGCCCGAAAGGATTTTTGAGATAAAAATATGCCTATATGTTAATCGGGAATGTTAGCTATTAATCATACAAAATTTCAGCCCAATCCGTCTAGTAGTTAATGCGTGATTGAACTTCAAACAAACACACAAACTTTCACATTTATAATATTAGTAAGATTATCTTGATTTAGGCCTACTTATTACTTTTTTATGGGTCATTTTGTAATAGAATCATGTTAGTAGCATAAATCGTTTTGAAGATATATCAAATTTAGTAGTTAAAATGTTAAACAACTGATTAGCGGGAATCGCACGCTTAAAGCTACACGTGGTAGTGTAACCATTGAGATACTTATTGTTGAGTTATAGATCAATTGTTGTTTATGCAAGCATTTTATTATTATTTATTATATTATTATGTTATTATTATTATTACTGAAATAAGACAATGACCGGATTTTTTAAAACTAATTTCCGTATTTTTCTTAATATAGGCTAAGCACAAAAAAAAACAATAGACAAATTTTAAAAATCAATTTTTTGAAAAAGAAAATTCATTAGGCATATTTCACTGCCATATCCCCTTAAGTTACATGGGAAGTCTAAGGGCGGTTCAGGAGCTCGGGACTTAATGGTCCGCGACCAGACGTTGGTCCCGGACTATATAAGCGACGACCGAAAAATGGGTTCACGAGTCAGAGCCTAATGATTTATTGTTGGTCGAGACCAAATCCGTAGCAGAGCCTAATGACAGGGATTCGCAGGGAATTTCTGTTGTTGAGACGTTGGTAACAACCAGTAACAACAGTCTGGAAACACATGTGAAGCCACTGCTGCTGACATACGCACTTCCATACAATAGGATGATTGTGAAAAAAGGCTGAACCAAAACGTCCAAAACGATTATTTTTCTCCTATTTCATTGTCCCAATGCTCACCTATGATATAATCTATCTAAGTTTATTGATTTATAAACACAACAATCCACGTTTGTATGAAATCAGATAATGGAAGTATTTAGTGAAATAGGCCTATATTTTTCTGTGTGCATTATTATAATTCAATTAACCCTTTCAGTGCTATGTATTATATCATTGTTTTAAAAAATCTCTAAGGGATATAGAGAGGAAGGTTATTTAAAAAAAATTAGCAAAACGGCCATTGGTGACCTGCATGTTCATAGGATACACTAACAACCACTTAGCTAAAAGATTCGCCCAATCCGATGATTTCGAGGTGTATGTCTAAACCAAGGATTATGAACACCTCACTATGCCCCAGTGGTTGTAGTATATCGCTACAAACACACAGGTCATCAATTATTTGCCACACAGGACGGGATTCGAACCCGAGCAGACGAATGCCACTGGCCAAGTGACACACGCCCTAGCCTTCTCAGCTATCTGTGCTTGAAGAATGAGGAGTCAAAAACCGGTATTTAAGCTGACGCCACCGATAGCGAACAGATAGCGCTACAGATGGTTGTTCAATGGGTTACTAGGTAGCAGCACCAGTTAGTCACGGACTATTTAGATGATTTTTTTTAGTTTAAACACAACATTGATCATAAATGTGTTCCTGAGACTTTGCTGCAAAACATTAGTTTCCCTAAAATTAAAACTAAACTAAACTAATTAAACTAAATTAATAATTACAGTAACCGGTATTTTAAGTTCATAAGTTGACCTGAGAAGGATAACTTAAATAATGTAAGATTTACCAGTTCCAGGTGTTGATGTGAAGTTGCTTTGCACAGTACAGTTTGCTTTATTTTTTAGGTAGCTTTGTTGAAAATGGTACAAAGGATTGTTTAGAAATTAGGAATGTGATCACCCAATAAACTTGTGTGTGGTTGATCTTGTCTTTAAATTGTCTTCTTTCTTGTTCAACATAACTTAGAATTGTTAACTAATCAAAACATTTAATTTCAGTTTGTATAAATGTTGTGGAGCGATTCAGCAAAGGACTGACAGATGATCTCAAAACAAGTCAAAGAACAATTGAACATGAATTTCGGAAGTTTTGCAAAACCATAAAAGATGACAAAGAAGACAGATTTGTAAGTAGCCTAGATTGTTCTAAAGAAGATTGCAAAAACATTACCTAATAAAGCTTATGTATGATATGAATATAAGTTAACTTATGATTCTAATAGTCAGTTTAATACAGTAGTTTTAAATCTAACTAAGTTAAGTTGATTGGGGTCCGTGGGTCTCTGAAATCTCCTGGGTGGGGTCGAGCCAACTGTGAGCAGCTTAGAAATTGGCTTTCGGGACAGAAATGATTTTTGGGCCAAGATCAGGATAGGTCATTTAGATTATATATGTTCATGTGCGTCTGTGAAGATTGTAAGATCGTAAATTCAGAAATTGGTTGTTATTGTGAGGGATTTTTAAATTTCCTCGGAATTGGGGGAGACAATCAGGATGTCCACAATCGCAAAATATGTTCACAATTTTGTTGTAAACAAGAAGGATGTTAATGATATTGTAATGGTCGCCGGAGACAATGATGAGGTGCCTATGAGCAGACCCCTCTGACCCCACGCTCATGAATTTGCCTAGGCTATGTTTACAATTTACCGGTTCGGTATAACAAGAGACCTTAAGGTCAACATTTTTTTAAAATATTGCTCCATTATATTAAAGAGTAAAAAATGTAGTCCACACCCCTTATAAGTAACCAATGTTGGCAAATTTACCATTTGCTGCCACATAACAATACACACAACAATTCAAAACAATGTACTGTAACCTATTGGGTTTATTGTGAAGTATTCAATCTCAAGTAAATAACGAAAACTTGTATTTCAGTGCTACTATGTAGGTGGGAAAGAAGAGTCAGCCACTGGAATATTGGGAGACCTGTCATGGCCAATCAAAGCTTCAATGCCAGCAGATGTTGTGTGTTCCAAACTCAACAAGAAAGACTCACAGCTCTGCGCATTGAGATACGGTACGTATGTAACTTAGTTACAAAACAACCTATTCCTTGCAAGAAAGTGGTGTAATAACCTACTACATTAGTATACTTGTACTAGTAATTAAACACTTGTGCCCCTTTGAACAAGTTGAAGTTTCGAAAAAGAACACTGGGATTTCAAAAGGACATTCCTTGGGTAGGCTGGTAGGCCTACTATTGAAGATAAGTAAACAATTTATGTTAAATTGAAGGGTAAAGATTAAAGAACAAAGTGTTATCTATTTTGATGACATTCTGAAAAATTTAATGACATTTGGATTGTTATCAATCTTATTTGATCATAAAACTGGCAAGGTCCGTACGTCTAGAGCAATTAGCAAGCTTAATCTGATGTTTTAATAGATTTTTGTAGGTACTAAGTCTCAATATTTGACCAATAACATTGTAGAGTGTCTACAGGAGCACTAATGAATGCATTGTTTCATTACGAAAAAATGTTTTCAAATAGCTGGCTTTTAAACAAATTGTTTAACAAATTGTTTGTTCAAATTAGCTATACAACTTTTAAATTTAAAAAAAAAACCAAGAAGCTTTGTGTATTTGTTTGCATTGATGAAAATTATCGTTCACTACTCGTCATGAAGGATCCATTTCCAGTGCTCGATAGTTGTTTCTATGCTCGGCTTCACCTCGCTCGTAAAGTAATATACTATCATTAACTATAAGATACTGAAGTAGACATCCCATCTATATGGACCAGCTGTCACCAATTTTTTTTATTAATAAAGAACGTAGTTGTGTGAGCCAGTCACAATATGCCCTAGTGTCTGAAAATGCAATTTATAGGCTACCTTATTTTTTGTCACTGACCAGGTTGATGGGTAATACTTGCCATAGCTTAAGCCATTCCTTAAGTTAGGCTCGGGAAAAAAGTTTGTGTAGGCTATTTGAGAGAGTTTGGTAATTTAGATCATCTGTCAGTGGCTCACATCAACTACAACGATTTTGATAAAAGATCTGGCTACAAATTGGGTCTGACTTAGGGGAGGTCCGATTGAGGCATTAGTTCAAAATTCCTCCGTGAACAGCGCTGTAGTAGAGAGCAGTTTGGCAATGAAGGTTTACTAATCGAAAAATAGTTCTGTTCATAAAATAAATGCCTCAAATTCAATTTTATTATTTTTTAATTATAAAATTAAACTATCATAACCTAACCGAGCTAACCAAACTTGCTGATAATGAAATAATATAACAAAAGTTTAGTAATAGAACAAATAATTCTGTTTATTAAATAAAACTAGAAATTGCTCAATTAACATTTTATAATGACTTAATAATAAAATTAAACTGTCATAACCGAACCAAACCAACCAAACTTGCTGATAATAACAAAATCTTGGACAAAAAGTTAATGCTACCAGCGGGATTTGAACACGGGACCTTCAGCATATCAGCCCGGCACGCAAACCACAAGAACACCGAGGCCGATGGCTACAGATCGTTTTGTTACGGTAATGGCGTTCCCTCAGCTAATAAGAAGCCCACAGCTGTCATCGTAGCCTCTTCTATACCTCCCCTGAGTAAATACCCTATAAATTTAACATGAGGATGGAATGTCTAGTTGTATTAACAGTCAAAGATACTACCTTGCCCCCAAATCGGGTGACTAGTAGTATAAAAAATTGTGGTTTTAGGAAGATATTTTTGATTAGTTTCTTGGTATTTAACTAGAATGCATTCTTTACAGAGAAAGAAATAGATCTCAATGCAGTCGATCTGAAAAAGCTGAAAGTTAGAGATTTGAAGAAGATTTTGAACAAGTGGAATGAAGTATGTGAAGGTTGTATAGAGAAAAGTGATTACATCAAGCGAATTGAAGAATTAAAGTCAACATATGTGAAAGAGGAACTTTAAGTGTTTCTTTAAGCTTTAAAGGACTGGATCTAATTTATTTATTTTCAAGACATATTTTTAAGTCTTTTGTTATAATAATAATACCTTTAAAAATATGTGTTTTTTAATGTCATAAGTTCCCAAACACTATTTTAAATACTGCAGTGGAATTGTTGAACATTGATTGGTAAAACATTTACTATATTTTGCCCTAGATGTCGATGATCCAAGGTAATGGTGTGAATAATATAAACCATAGACAAAACATACTCTCTCAGTAGATTTGTCATCCTTATGGTTCAACTGGAGAAAATTGTATTGTTAGTTCTGTCTGGTGCCGCTAGGACCAAGTTTTCTTTACCATTTGTTACTTATTATTTCAGTTATTTAACCCTTCGTCGATGTCTTTGATTTTAAAACACGGTGACACACAGAGTTTTTTCCGGGTGTTGAAACATCAGACAAACAATGTTTTATATACATACATTGATATAAAAATGTATTACAACCATGTATAATAAATTAAATTGTACATTATTTAAATTAAAACACTTACTTAAAATATTTATAAAATATATAGCAAACAAAAACAACAACACCATCAGTGACTCTTGGGGCTTCAACTGATTATCAAAATAATGCTCAGTTCCTAGAAAAATGCACGTGATACTGTTACTCCTAATTTCCTAAAGCTGTTGGCTGACTGGTGATAGGCCTATCACATATTTGTCTATAAAAACAAATGCGCCTGGAGGAAAACTCTGTGGTGTCACCGACGAAGACTTGAAACCACCTTTCACTTAATAAAATTACATATTTTACTATTCATAAACAACAGCTTCTCTTTCAGTTATATAAGAGTAAAATAAATGACAATTAATAAAAAATAAAATTGACCCTAAAATAATAGAAACAAAATGTTGTTGTCATACGCCAGTGCACCAATCTATTTTAGCGAATTTCCCATATAGGGAATAAGCTATTACCGTAGGTCTCATGGTAAGACCTGGACCCGGGACCGATTTACTTTTTCGTTTTGAGGTCCCCAGAGGCCAAAAACACCATCCGTTCAAATTCATATATTTATATATGTGTCCGTTAGCGCGATAACTCGAGCAAAATTGATCCGATTTTGATGAAATTTGGTACAAACGTGTAAACCTACATTTATTCGAACGAGTTCGCGAACCAGCATAATCGGATCAGGGGTTTATGGGGGGTTTTATGGGGTAAAAATGGGTTTTTCTCATTTTTGACCCTAAAAACTTTAAATTTCTTAATTTCTCTCTAGACCATTTTGAAGAGCTTAAAAAAACAAATAATTTAGTATATTGAAGTTTTTTTGAATGTTCGGCTACGACTGTTTGACTGTTCAATGCTGACTACGGAAAAAATTTAAAAAATTGTAAATTTAAAATTCCCATGTTATTCTTATGGAGAATAAATATTTTTTAATATATTGAAGAATAACATGTTACGTGTATTCATAATATTACATCCCTTCTAGATAGTTTTTTCCTCCTTGGCAATGGTCAATCGCTGCAGCTGCAGCTTTGTTTCAGTAGATCTGTGATTAACTGAGTAATTGGTTGTACAGATGACATAACTGAAACTAATATAGCTATAGTCAATTAAAGCCCCTTCACACAGAGCTGGGTTTGTACCGCTAGAAACACACATGAGTTGGTACATCTAGCCGCTGGAGGGTTTATACAGTTAAATATGAGTGTAGAGTGGAGTGAGATGATTTGTATAGCTTCATTTCTGACTAAAGTCAGCTGTTAAATTAGTCAGGACGTAAGGCATGTGTGAAGAGATACCTGATTACAATGAGCTCAGTCATAGCCTCCTTAATAAAAGCCCGCTGCGGTTGTTGTGGCAGTCTGTTGCAATAATAATAATAACAACAAACGTGTGAACATAAACACAGTGCAGGCGCTCCATTATAAATTAGTGCAACAGGTGTGGACTGGACAACAGTGCTTCCACTTTGTCTTGACGTGGCCTTGTATTAAGGAGGCTATGGCTCAGTAGAGCTGAATGCCATGAATAACATACATATACTGTGTGGTTGTCTCCAAAAATAATCTTGTCACTGAAACAGGTGACATCAATCAACACCCTGTATATAGTTCACGGTTTAAGTAATGTAAACTTAACATTTGTCAGTATCACTAATGGCGGTATACCAATTCAAGCTACATTTAGCTACATAATCAAAAATTTTCCTTAACATCAACAGCTACAACAAATTAAGCCGGGTTTTCCTAGGCGGGGAGAGCGAAGTGCGTTGAAGTGATTTTAATGGTGGTCCGCTACGCTTCTCGGAAAATATTACCTATGATAAGAGGAGAGCAGACTCCGCGCCTAGGAAAACCCAGCTGGGACTGGCTAGGTATTGGAGGATATAAAGAAAAGGCCCTGGTTTCGGATTTAAACAAGCTTACAAGCTGAAACTGAGCTAATTGAGACCTTTATTTACAGACAACCAACCCTTGTATGTTCCAAAATACATTCTGGGGTAATAGGCCTAGTTAAGTAACGTATATAAAATAAAGAGTGGTAAAAAAATATTCTGGTAAGCAGTCAGCCAAGAAATGTCTGACATAATTATTAGTGAATGATGCAATTTAAGCATGCATAAGGTTTAAAATTTCAAGGTTTTGAAATTAATTTACAAAGTTTTTACAAAATAAATATTTAATATAAGAGTGAAATTTACAAAAATCAATCAGTCTTCTTGTCGGTCACTTCAAAAACAAAACCTCTTCTTCTCAAGTCTTCTTTAGCCTCAATTATTTGCTGAAATGAATAAAACTTGAGTTAAGTAGTCTAGAAATACAGAAACTCTACAGAAATAAAAAAAATTATTCCTAATAAAAAAGGTGGGTCCAAACATACCATTACACACAAAATTAATTTAGTTTTATTTAATAATAAAAAGTGAACAAACATTTATGTTAAGTACCCCCGCTGCAGCAAACCTGCAGACTAAGCAAATTTCCATTCGCCTGATTGGATTTACACTGAAATGTCTTTCAATTATTATTATAAAAATCAAGCACAATTTTTGTCCGTGGAACTCGTCCGTAGTTTTTCAGCCAATTTTGTTAGTTTACAGCCCATTTGAAAGATTTCATTAGGTAGATGTCATATAAGGTCTGACAAAGTCCAAGGCTCCACTAGATAAACAGGCCATGCTGAAACGCAGGCAGCGCAACAATACATCACATTGGTGGATAGTTGTACTAAATTTGTACCATTAAAATCTCACAAACAGCCAGCTCATTTACCTAAAACTTAAGGGATATGGCAGTGAATTTATACGAATCGATCCAATAGTGTGCCATCATGGATTCTGCAGCTTGGCCTGATTTTTCTAGTGGGGCCTTGCTCTGCCCCGGTGGCTTTTAAAGTTAAAATGTTAATCTTTTTTGTTTGCATAGGTTCAAGCTATTTCTTTTAACAGCTGGTTTGTTTATGTTGTAATGAAAACTAATAATATTTGAGTTATTATATGGCTCAAGTTTTTTTTAAACTTGATTTTACTATTGCCTTCTTTTTTAATACGCACTTCTTTAGTACTCTTCCCTGCTTTTTTTAAGACATGCCACAGTGTCGCCGATCAAATATAGATAATTGTAGCTATATTTAGCTGAAGCTTCATCTGGACTCAGTGTGCTAACTCCAAGAATTAACTTGCGACCTTCTGAAACTATGCTCCCTTTTGCGTAGGAAAGGGCGCAATTCTCTATTATCCCAGCATTTGCAATGACCATCAACAATGCGTAAGGACGGCCAATTGGCAATGTTTTAGCGTATCTTCCGCAACCTGTGTTCGGATACTGACAGCTCTGCCGCCAGTAGAGCAAGGTATTTTGGTGAGCTACGGTTTTTCACAGAAGACACTTCCAAGCAGGATGATTAAGAAATAATCATCGTGTTACACTGAAAATATTGTTTATCGTAAACTGATTTGAAATTAAAATATTTACTGTTAAAGAATGTAAAATGTGTATTTTTTACAACAATGAGCGAATGACTTTGTTCAAGGTTTATTGCAAAATAAAAAAGCTCTGACGTTCACTGATAATTAGAGGTTATGGGAAATTAAGACAAATAACGTGCTTAACGTAATTGGTTGTAGGCAATGCCGTCCTTCAGTAGGCCTATGTTTAAACAGCTACATTTGGAAACTTTTCTACGTAGTTTAATAAACTCGCACTGGGACGTCCTAGTTAGTGATTGTACTGCTAGTCCACAATGTTAATTAACTCACCTTTTGTAATTCTTTTGCTGCATCATCACAATCATTAAAAGTGTAGACTCGCCATAAAACAACAGAAGCTGCATATATCTGGAAGCACATTATAATCCATAATGTTAGGCCTAACTCTGTTCCACATCAACAATCCAGTTATGTACCGGTACATATTTTGTTATAGTTTACACACAGAGAATACGCGTCCGGTAACCTGACGTGGATTAGGCGTCTGGCAGTGAAGTCACCGGGTTGTAGGGGCCCAGAACGCCATTACCACAACGATACGATGTACAGCTATCGGTCTTAGTGGTGTAGTAGATAGAGTGCTCGGCTGATATGCAAGAGGTCCCTGGTTTGAATCTCATCGGTAAAATTAACTTTTTGTCAAAGATTTGGCTTTAAATGTAATTTCTTCTTAAGTTAACTGGACATCTTTTGTTAGAATTTTTTGCATTTATAATTTTATTTTATGAACAGAATTTAACCTTCATTCAATTTTTTCATTATCAGCAAGTTTGGTTGGTTAGGTTATGACAGTAATTAATTGATAGACGCCTAATCCACATCCGGTTACCGGACGTGTATCCTCTGCATATAGTTTATCCAGTAACTTACCTAAGTTTTAGTTAGGCTACAACTTTTTATTTTGTGATTTAAAAACAATTCTGTTTGTTTTACATAGTTTAGGCCTATCTACTGGGTTGAAGCTTCAATTTATTTTTTGGTTTATTAATTAGTTCAGTGAAAACCACAATTTAAATATGTTACAGGAAGTTTGGTTAGGTTAGATTATGGCGCTGGACCCCTAATCCAGTCGGCGTATCCTCTGCATAATCAAACAGTAACTTAAAA